ACCAAAAATGTGGCTCCGCTACGTAGACGACACATTTGTCATCATGAAGACCAGGGAAGTTGAGCGATTGCACCAGAACTTAAATAGCGTCTTCCCGGCTATACAGTTTACTCGCGAAGAAGCAACAGGAGATACCCTCCCGTTCTTAGATGTGAGTATAGAAAGACTCGGTGATGGCAAACTAGCAACAAGCGTCCACAGAAAAGACTCTAGTGCCGAAATCATACTTAACTATGGGAGCAGTCATCCTGCGGCACATAAACGAAGCTGTGTCCACACTCTTTTCCATCGGGCCTAGCGCATCTGAAACAATGATGACTTACTTAAGGAAGAATTGGCCTACTTACATCGGTTATTCCGGTCCAACGGATAGCCTGCCAATTTTGTAAAGAACTGTCTCAGACGTCAGAGACAACTACCAAGCCGCGAGTCTAATGGGGATAGAGTGTCACAGAAATTCTATTCACTGCCGTACATTCAGGAAATTTCTGAAACACTCCCGGCAATTAAAACGCTTTGGCATCTCCGTTGCCCATAAGACCGACACTAAACCGCATTACGCCGAGTAAAGGACCCGGTGCCCAAAGAACAACTTACTAACGTCATCTACCGTATACCGTGCGCCAACCGCACTTCTGTTTATATTGGCCATACAGGCCGATGTCTTGGGACTCGAATTAGCGAGCACAAGTTAGCCCTCCGCCGACGTGACCCTCTGTCCCTCGTGTTTGCGCACGCCCTTGAGCATGACCGCCGTTTCAATTGGGACGGTACTGAAGTGATCGCAAGGGCTACCACCAGACAGGCGCGAGAATTCCTCGAGGCTTGGCATTCTGGCACGACCATCATCAACTGCCACGTCGATCTAGACGCTCACTACGAGGGCTTACGTACACGCTCACTGTCTTTTTCTTCCACCCTACCAACTGCTAACCCCCCACTCGGCCACATCAACGTATGCTGTTTCGGCATTCCGCCCCCCCCCCTTGCGACACGGGGAACAACAACCGAAACCCTCTAACATCTCCAACGCCGGCGCACTGTCCCCTGACCTCATCGCGCATCAGTGACCAGCCGCCTGCATTCCCACTGATCTGCAATCCCCCCCCGCGTTTTCTCCACCTCCAACACAGGGAATCCTAACGGTTTTTCCTTCCCTCTCCCTTCCCCACAGCCTCCCATAACTCGATGTCCACCCCTCTCACGTATCAGCTGTCCGTTTGTCGTTGTCTGACCTGTCGCGCCAGCCGACCTAGTCTGCTCAATTCACTTTCCCCTCTGTTCGTTTCGTCTGACGACGACGGGTCGGTGTCACCGGCTTGAAAATTTACGAGTACAACTCGATATTCCGAAGGGCCTTCTCTTTTTTATAAGAATCCCTTCCTGACGGGACAAACCTATCCGGTTGTGGCGCATGCAACTACTTTATAAAAGTGGGTTGACAACATTAAAGGAGGATTCACAGACACTGGGTGATAGCGCAGAGTTCGTACATGATTTGCAAGATCCGCAAATATTCCCATGTTGCCCCTGATAAGTCAACTTGACAAGCATTTGTTTTTGGGAATTCTTTGTCAGACAAAAGTTCAGGGCAACGTCGAGAAGACAAGATGACAAAATACCATTAATGACCTCGTCTACTACGGTCGGTATGTGTTCTATATCTTCCGCGTGGCGGATGGTACCACCGATACCGAGAATCTTTTCCAAAAGTTCAACAGTGCGCGCCCCTCGTTAAAGTTCACTGCAGAGTCCGAGGCAAATAACGAAATTGTGTTTCTAGATGTCCTTTTGTACAGGCAAGAGGATGGGTTTATTCAGCGCAAGGTGTTCCGAAATATAACCTGGACGGGACAATACATTAATTTTCACAGTTTTTTTTACCCAAAACATCAAACGTCATTTAGTGCAAGGATTGGCGCCTAGAATGAGGCGCATCTGCTCACCTGAAGCTGTTGAAGCAGAGCTCCAACAACTGTTAAACACACTTCGCAGGAACCGATACCCAGATAGATTTATCCTCCGAAATATTGGGGAGCGCACTGCAAAGCCTGCTGTTGCGACTGCGGAAAAGAAAGGTGTATTCATAAGACTGCCTTTTGCAGGGGACGCAGCGAGCGAACTATTCAGACGACGCTTAACTACAGCTATCATGAGAGCATTTCCGGGGCGAATTTACGCATATGCCTCACAAACTCTCCCCTCCTAAGTTTTGGAGGTGAAGACAGACTACCATTAGAGGCCACATCAATGTGCATTTACTCATTCACTTGCTCCTGTGGAGCGGGATTCCTTGGTTGCACAATGAGACGCCTGGTAAAGAGGGTGCGTGAACATATGCCCGCCTGACTAGACAGGGGTGAGACCCGATCGATTTCGAGTTCCATTCTCGCACATTTATTCGATACAAACACCGAGCCGATGCCAAGGAAGCATTTCAGGTTGTCTACCGGACACCAACAAGTTTCTCCAAAGGCCTACGCCAACGGATGCTAGCACGGGCCGAGGCAGTGGTTGTACGGCTAGTGAATCCGGTGTTATGCTCTCAGAAAACGTTGACACAAGCGCTCTCTCTAGCGTAGCCACGCCAACCTCAAGTGATGACAATATGCCGCCTCATATCCTTAATTACAGTAATGGGTACCCCCTGTACTCAATCCAAGAGCATCGCTCAAAGACTCTCTTACCAATCTCCCCCTAGCCCTGAAGACCAAGACTCACCGACCTCGTCATGCGGGCGGCGAGGGGAGGATGAGTGTTAATGACTTAATAGCCCTTGAGACACCTAAAACACTCTTAATTTTGTATATTTTCCTTCCTACATGGAACTGTATTGGCTTGACAAAAAATTACCGAAAACACGTGTTTGTCAACTTGACTTTTCAAGTGATTTGTAAGAAACGGTAAATGATTTTTGCAGAAGAATTTATGTATGCTTTCTCCCAGTTTCTGATTGTTGCGCCTGCCTTAATGTCGTCGGAGCGTTTAGAGGGTATTTTTATGAGCGCTTGCGTTCGTGTAAGCTGAGAATCCCTATCAGAAGCGTTTTCGCCAAAACTCTGTGTGTATCTCTGTACAACTGATTGCTTTTATGGTCGTAAGAGGTATGGCCATGGAAGTTGTCTCTAGAAACTATTAGTAGTAGTCCCCAAACCCTATCAACCAGCAACATTATCACCGAGCGATTTTGGTGCCCTACGACATAAATAGTCCTTGTATGAGGAGAAACCTGTTCATGAGGTGGCCAAACGTCAATATCTTTGTCAGACAGCCAGTCGAGGCGAATCGCCAAAGGCTGTGATTTGGATTATAAAATGCCATGTTCAAGGACTATTCGGTCACCCAAACCGACGTTTTGACTTAAACTGTTTACCACAAAGAAAAGGGCTGTTTTTTCAATTTTAAAACAGAAATATTTATACAGTCGGCCTAAGTAGCTGCATCCAGACGTGGATCTGTCATCTTTGCGTAAGTCTCTTCAGACGGGTCGAAGAAACGCTACATGCATCTTGCCATTACGGAAGAGAAATACATATTGGCCCAACTGTGAAAAACTCGACTCCTCGGTGGGATTCAAACCCACGCAGTAAGGGGGAAGGCTTTAGTACAGCCAACGCTCTAACCACCTGAGCTACAAGGCCCGCCGGACGACGCGAGTTTTATCACACTTGGGTCTGATCTCCTAAAGCAGGAGTTCAATCTTTTTTGGAGTATTTAAAATATCACTGAAAATCTACTGTCTGACTGACTAATTCAGCGTATGCATCTAATGCATTTGGCGAAAATCAACTGGCGTCTTCTGAATTTAAACTTGTTTCTTTTGGACAAATCCGTATTGACTTAAATAGTAAATCTTCTCGTCCTGCAACTATGGAGCTGGAAATTTGTTATAAATGATGTTTTGTACCTCGAAAAGATCGTTTGAAATCATTCCCGATTTATATTATTTTAGCACGCATAGGCCTGATAAATGCTAGGCTGCGCAATCAATTCAGCCAGACTGTGAGAACTTGGTACAAATAAAAGCCCACTGTGAAATCTTAATAATTTCTTCTCTTAGAACTCCCATTTGAAGGAGACGCAATTTCTCGCAAGCCATCTGTACGAAATGAACGATTTTTGCAATCATAACAAAGGCCGGTTTTTAAGCATCCAAAATTAATGGGGAAAGTTGTGCCATATAAAATATTTTGCTACGGGAGTGATATATTCGGATTGGTGGATGGCGTGCGGCAAACAGCCAACATCCTGTTAGAAAATATGTTTGAAAAATGTAGCCAGTATCCTCTGCTTCCAAAACGATTAAAGCGTGCATTTTAATCCTAGGCTAGACAAACCCAGAAGAAATGAACCGGATGACCGAATCGGTCTAGGCCAAGCATACTGAAACTAAAAAGTTTCGCCGACATGGACAGAAGAGGCTATTTCTCGCCCACTTTCTGTCAGCAGTAAGCCATCACTTAACCTCAGGCCCGGAACCATCCGACATTTGGCGAAAGGCCAGGCTGTAATCAGACATTCGAGTCCAATGTTCTAACACTGCGACCACTAGCCTCTGTCCTTTCAACAGCAATCAAGAATATTCAAAGTCACATAGCGGGCTCGTGAACAAAAGTATCCTGATTGCGCAACGGAATTAAGAATCTTTCAATATTAGACCGGGTCGTTATACATGCAAGTCAAACAGAAATCAACTAAGACTATAACCAGAGGGGTTTTAACAGAGTGGGGTGGTTGGAAGTTGTTCAGTTTTCACAGTGTGTATTTAAAAATCAGTAGCAGTCTTGCGCAAGTTGGAGAAGTTGTTTTCCTTACTCGTATGCCTTATGTCCTATATAACAAAGAATGCATCGTAAGGTTCCATGAACTCAGGTGGGCAGTCATATTATAGTTTTAGTAGTCGCTGCAGTCTTCTACGCAGTTCGGAACTGACATATGCGTCAAACAAGCAAGGGGATTGTGAGGTAAGATCACATACAAAGTTTTAAGAAAATACCTGTTCATGACGCCTTGGCTTAAGAAGAGAAGACGGAAGGGTCGTAAGTAAAATGGCAATAATTGGCAAAATGGATGAATTCCAATCGGACAAACGAGCTACTGCATTTAGCCTTTAAATCAGTAAGATAAATAATACCAAATTATACTTTACTGCGTTTATCTTCGACAAGGATTTGAGTATAAACACTTGCGATGGCACGGCAGAGAGAAAAACTGAGCAGAATCCTTCCATTATCGGCCCTTTACGGTTTGAACGCATTTTTGAGCTAGAAGATTGCCCGATTTGAGGTTAACTCGAAACAAGCTTGTTTCCAGGTTTATTTGGACAGCATTAGAAGTGCTCTTTTAGACGATATTTAATACTACTCTTAAACGAACACATTGTGTCCAATTCTAGACTCCTAGGAGACAAAGAATTGGAAGAATGAGAATTTAACCAAAATAGCAAACAGCGTTTGTGAAACGTGCGTCAAATCTCTCAGTGTAGTCAGCTTATATGAACAGTCCATGAATGTGAAGCTATTTTTTGTAAACCCCGAACAATAGGATTCATTTCATCTCAAGCGAAATGCATGAATCTAAAGATGTGCAATGCGGCGATCATCAGTAATCCTCGGCAATCCATTCTGCAGGTAGTAAATCCTCAAGCGAATAAGATAAAATGACGATTTGCGGCCGTATGGGAAATAATCGCCAGAATCTCTGATAAATTGGGTCAAGAAAAGGTGAAGTAGTCATCTATCTTAATTCAGCAGTTCGCATGATTCAGTTTTTGATGCAAAGTTTAAAAATATGCATGTACATACGTCCTCGCCTGACTTTCTTGGCCAATTTATCTGTGGAAAATCAATTTTAGTTTTATAAATAAGTAGAAGTAGACAGTAAGGGATAACTTGTGCAGCACAAATGACAAAAAAGCCACTTTCGTTGGACGCGAACAATAGGCTATTATATAGAACCTATAACGGTTCTAAATCATTGCGTAGTTGAAGTTCAATGCATGCGTACGTACCCATTTCCTCTATCCACTCTGAAGAAGATATTTAAAAGATTTCCAAAGATGAGATGCATTTTCTAATCGTCCATAGTAAGAGATTGTTGTTAAATCAAAGTGTTTACAACCCTGCAAATACAAGTCACGGCCAAAGTTCCCTCAAAACCGTAGGGATCGTTTATAGCCACATTGTTGAAAAGAATGCAGAGGGGTCAATCAAACAGACGCCGCCAACCACCCGGGATTTTCTTTTAAATGTTAGACTTTTACGTCCCAAAATTATTCTGTCTGAATGCACGTCCACCAAAGCCGCAAGCTGTCTCTGGTTGATACCAGTCTAAAATTGTCCTCTGTGTAATAAGATTGTGGGGTTCTTTATCGTAAATTGCCACTTTGACATGATTCACTTAATCTGTTTATCAAAAAATATTCAGGGGTATAACGTGTTCAAAATGGAGTGAATTTTCTTAAAAAAATGTTTGAGGAGAAATAGAATTAAATCGGGCTTTTTTGCAACAGGTTTTCTAAAACATGATTATAAATCACGTCGCGGCACTGTATAAGTTTATCTACTCTAAGGGGCATTTTAGTGCACATTATGGGACGTCAACCGCTTACTTTTAAAACATTTTAAGAACCAATGGATACCCCAGCAATTTTATCGATAAAACAGACTCCGAACGAACGTACAACAGCCAGAGGAGCAGAAATACTATGTCTAAAGGGGCCTTTCCTATACTAAAGGAGTTTCCGAGTCGGTCTCTCGACTGCTGCTACTCGTCCGAGTAGCCATAGTCCGTTGACCTCAGGCAAGATGTCATAGCCGTTTGGTGCAACCCAAAGGCACACTACCACCAACCAAAATCTTAGTAGGTATTTACAAAATAGCTGCAATGATGAGGAGTGAAACTACGTTGGGGAACAGGTTGGATACTGCAGACCCGCCTTTAAGAGTAAAAATCAGTAGATCGGAGCTTAGATCCAAACTCGCAGTTTGCGAGGCACATTGGAGAAACTGGCCAAACTTCCCACCATCGGGGAGAGACTACCTTAGGCCACGGAAAATCAAGGACAGGAAGGCTGATAGTAGAGGCGAAGCATTCAGATGCCAACTCCATCAGCTGGCATCTTGACCTTTCTGTAGCTCACGAAGTCCAGCATAATTACGTACAGAAAGCCTAGGACAGGTTGATCACAGAAAGCCACACAGACATATCCCGACGACGAACTTACTCGGCGGAGCGAAAAAGAGTCACCAGATCAAACAATCCCCCCACCCCATCAGAGGCCCAATCACCCCAAAATCGACCAGTGCGGGGCCAACTAGCACCGCACGCCACTTCCACTTCTGTTCGATTAAATGCTCTTACAATGGTGAGCCGACTAAGTTATGTGGGCCGTCAGAATTTTAGCAAGCCTTTCCGGTAAGCCATTCTTATTTCTCAAATAATCTGTCCTGCTCCCCAATTTTGCCTTCTTGAATATTGTTGCAAAGTATTTTTGCAACCCTATGTCATTGGATCATAAGTACTAATTCGAAAAGAACTGAATTCCACGTTGAGTATTTCACCACGGTCGAAAGTCTGGCCTTGTTTATGCCTTATTCTCTTATCTAGCACAGGGTTAATTAGACACGCCGTCTAGCTTGATATCTTTCTCTCTTCCCAGCGCAGACATGCACGAATAATGTTGCGCCAAAGCTCTAATTAGAATATGGAATCATTTCTGCAGGGTTCTTGAAAAGCTGCACTATTTGCCAACGCAAATACTTTATATGAGGTCGGAAAGTTTTAACGAATAAAGTGGGGCCGTAAAATCACTACATTTTCCGATTGCTGTATTCAGTATTTTTGGTTGATTTTTGGTATAGTTTCTCATACCACTAACGTCTAAGTTTTTCATTATATCGTCTGTTGCGTCATAGTGGCTTGCAACCTTATTTCACGCTTTTTGTGTACCAGTTCGCTTATACTGATGACAGCAATATTTGTAGCATTCTGCTGCTAACATTCATTGCATACACTGCTATACGGTGTGTCGTCATATAGGTCCTGACCATTATTACTGTACAACATAAAGTTAATTGTAATCACTGTAACTAGGTCGTTTGAATGCCAACTTAAGTAATTCTAGAAGATTCCCTATTAAAAGGTCATGTTGCTATTGTAGTTGGCTGCACCTTTAGATAATTACCGATTAGAGCGAACATTATAGGAACATCAGGCATCCCTGACATCCTAGAAATAATCACCTATTGGCTACCAGCAGGCAAAAACTCAGTATTTCATGGTAGACTCCCCTTCGGGAGCTAATGCGGTGTTTTCTTACACGCCCAAGTATTTTTTATGCGCGTTTTTGTGTTCTCATGAGTAGAAGGCTCCGTCTTTTCTGAGACACCAGACAATAAACAAGTATCAAATCAACTGCCGAACCAAGCAAACTACTGAATACGTCCTAGTCCTCATGATATTGTGGGTAGTTATCAGCTAATATTTAAGACGAGTTCGAAACATACGATCGCAAAACCTGACAGGGAATGCGGCTTTCGGTTAGCAAATAAAACCATGCAGTCAAAGTACACTCGAATGGGCTCATGTGTTCATTACTATGATTTTATGAGGTAATTCATGGTTGATTTTTAATTTCCTTAAAAATTAACTGCGAACTTGGAGTAGATCAATATATTTAAGGTCTGTAGGCTCGGACGGAAGTTTTCATTTATGAATGATTGGGCCGAAGTCCAACAATCACAGCGTATACTCGCGTAATATTCATTAACTGCCGGCAGGCAACTAGTAGCAAACTATAAGGTAGGGTGATTCCATACTAACAGCACAGGTAGTGGCCAAAAGCCCACACAGGCGTGTTTTGCCGATATTCTGCCGCTGGTTGACACAGCTGGGAGGGGTTCGGCTCGTCAGTGGGTCACCAGCACGCGTGTATGGGCTTTTGGAGGATCCACTGACGAGCCGAACCCCTCGAAGCTCTGTCAACCAGCGACAGAATATCGGCGAAACACGCATATATGGGCTTCTGGCTATTATCTGTGCTGTTAGTATGGGATCACCTTATCCTATGGTAATTCAGCTTGTGGCCTGTTTAGTTTTTATCTATATTATGGTAGTGAATACTCTTTCTGGGGCAAGCTAGTTGTCTCCGCAAGGGTTATCTCTTATTCATTGCACCGGTCTACTTAGAAGCAATCAGTCTTGTAGCCATCCATGGTACTTTACAGTAAGGGAACAAGAGCCTTCTAATGCATAAGTAGGGAATTCAAATAACTATACATTGCCACTTGTGAAGGAAAAAAGCACTTTAATGCCTTTGCTAAATAAATTTTTCGTACCTAAAAAAGCTTGAAGCTGATATGGGGGTCACGCACGTAGGCATTTAAAAAAACGAGGTGGTCTTTCGATGTTACCAGATGGCAGTAAACTCAGTAGACGGATTTTGTATTCTGCGTCAAAATTAGACCCCTTTTTCTTCTATTTATACTGAGCGGTTTGCCGATCCGCGCACAGAAACTATTTTTGAAAGTGAAAATCCACTTACTTTCATTGAATCCGGCATAAAGCACCTCTATGAAAAGATACAGTAACGGTTAGTAAGTTCAGGTGTAGTTGATAAACGACATCGGAAATCCTGGCAAATATTTTTTAATCCATTGCGTTTTAAAATGATCATGTAACAACCTACTCTTAAACCACGACTGCACTAATTATCCAGCAGTTAGTCAACCCGATCTTTTCAGAGCCCCTGGTTATTTTAGATGCCATAAAACAAAATAGCAGAAAACAAAGTTATATTAAAAATCATACCTAAAAGTGGCGCTGACTCTGTAAAAACAGGAAAACTCATGTTGACATCTAGTAAATTCTATTTAAAAATGTTTTGCCTGCCTATTTTAGATAACGAAATTTTTCCCTTCTGATCATTAATTAATGCTGTTGTCCCGTTGGAAGGGGACGGCTTGGAAATTTTTGGGGTAATCAATGAACACAAAATGTTGTGTCTTGTCCCTTAAACACCGAACTTTCATCTATCGCTCATGATCTTCGGCCCAATAACAGATCAGTTCCTATTGGAATACGGAAAACGCTTTCGGCTAACACAAAACCGTCTTTTTATTCTCTTTTGTCGTTGTCATGCTTTTTTCTTCAGAAGGGAACTATTTTAGCGATTCCACGGCCCACCCAAGGATATATCCTCTGATAAACTATTCCAGGGGAAGAAGATGCTTGTCAGTTCTTGCCCTGCCTTGGTATACTTCTCAGACGTGGTCCTAACGACAGAACTGAAATGACAGTTTGAGAGGAGGCAACAAAGAGCACACCACATCTTAGAATTCAAGTTAACTATTTTAGTGCACAAAGGCGATGCCGTATGTGAATGTTCCTCAAAAATATTTGGTCTCGCGGCAAAAATATGGGGCCAAAACCCCACGAGGCTCGCTATCCCTTCGATCACTCTAAGCGGAAGGATTACACGAGAGGTTTCATGGCACAACGTCTGCGCTCTTGCCCTCATGGAGAATGCTCAGAGGACCTAACGACGATAAAGCACACTCTGGCACATATAAAGGGTGTTTCAGAGGCGGCAGGGCCCAGTGTTGGTGCATATCAGAGTGTTCGAATCACATGGCGACTTTAGGCCACGGTGCATAGTCGGGCCATGTAAATTAGGGACTCACTAGGTTTCAGTGAACAGTCTGATGCAGTGTGTCGTCTCTACTGCCTAGAGTGACCTCCTCGCGAGAATTAATCAGTCGACATAGTTGACATGTCTCCTCATAAGCAACACTGTGCAGCCATCTGCAGAGCTACAACGCTAGTCGTTAATCGGTTAAGGTACCTTTCACCTCATTCCTCTTGAAGTTCTGCTGTCGTCCGCTCTGAGCACGGACAGCCTTAAGAGTTCGAAAGTCCAGAAAAGTGAACAAACAGTCTGACGTTCAACCAGTGCCCATACAACTTACTCGAACCAACAGTTGATACTTTTATACAGTCTTAAACATTATACGCGGGGACATACCGTTAATAGCTTGTTTCACGAACGGTGCTAAATAGATTGAAAATAAAAACAGATTTTTTGACGCTTATTAGACCTTTCCAGCAAATACTACCCCGACTGCAAAAATATTCTCAGGTCAACTTTCAAGGCAGAGAAGATAAAAACGTAGAAACAAGTTAAGTCAAATCGCTCAAATACCTGTCAAATCATGCCAAACTGAAAAGAAAGCTCATTGTCAGATACCGCTGACCGTAGAACATAAGAGAAAAGAGATGTCTCTAGAATTACCAGTAGAGCCTTGCTGGAACATCAAACCTGATTTTAAAATAAGAAGCCTTCGTTACATACTGCACACATTTAAATGACCGGAACGTTATTAACTTCATATTTGTTTCAGTCATCAGCAAAAATATTTTGAGTAACTTGGAGAATTTGTCGACCAAAAAAGCAATAAACTAAGGATGAGGGCGACTTTCTGCATCTTTGTAACAAGATCAGTTACCCTTATGTCACCGACTCCCTTAAATGGTTTTTAGAGCTAAATTAGAGCGAACTTACCCAAAATCTTTTTTAATGCTAAAATATGAAATAAATTGGAGTTGAGTGAACGAACGGTATCTCTCCGCAATCACAAATGATCTTCATGAGAAAGGCGGATAAGTGTATTGCCTACTTTCTTCCTCCTGTCCGAGAAATGACTCTGAAATTGAGTTGAATATTCTCAGAAATTCTTCATCGAATATAAATTTAAAAGACATCCATCAAACGCAATGACAATCATTGACTTTGCATCCATTTAGTTGGTAGGCGTTGTTTTTTGCCTTTTCAATATGTAATTTTGAGGTTACCTAGCCATTTTCCCAGAGCTGCAAAGAATTCGCATAAAACTGACGTTATTTTTCATTTAATAAATGCACTTATTGGAAATTTTGCAGGTGAAATTAACCAAAAAATTAAACAAGCACTCTTTATGGGAGCTTGCGAACGTGCAGTCACAGATCCTGTGCTGGGAAGTAGCTCATTTTTGTTATTGACATAAGTATCATTATTATTGCAGTAAAAACATTCTGTTCTCATCATATCGCTCAGTGACTGGTCTTACCCCCGACACCGTTTCCAATGAATATGTCTGTAGAAAGGAGAATGGACAATAGAGTCAAACTAATTCACGCATTATCTGCGGAACTTATTAGTGAAAAAAACCAAAAAAATCAAAAGGATGCTTTTCGCCAAAACCAGTAGAATTCGGTACACATTTTGTTAGGAAATGTACTTTGCAGAAAAGCACTGTTCCTCTATAAATAAATAGCAGCAAAAAGAGAGGCGTCGTTTGACTCACCAAGTGCATCCTCGATCTCTAAAAAGGTAAACATTTTTTGGTGTCTTTAAACCCTCTATTAAATTTGCCGAGCGAGGACTAAAACCTCCAACTCACTTTTCAGTAATTCTTTGTATTTCGGGTTTTCTAAAGAATAAATAAGAACCCTTATTATAAAGACCTTTTAAATTAAAAGAGAACTAGTTCAGACTTGGTAGATGTAAAGAAAATCTATGTTATCTTCGGATCAGCTCTTCAAGTGTTCACAACTTACCTAGTTACTGTTGCTTGTTCTGACTGCTAACTGGTGGTGGATTACTATACACATAAATGTGATACTTGTCCAAAAACTTTAGTTAAGATTGTCCTGTATTTTGAATTTCAGGCTTTGCAGGAGTTTTTGATTTCGATCAGCTGGACAACGTGCAATTTTTAGAAAGCTTAAAGAACTGGGAGGCTGGAAATGCAGTATGTTACTCCCTATCGGATAGATTGAATTCTTTTTTGGTATCATTGACACCGGCTGTTTTTTAGATAAGAATATTGCAGACGCATTTGGCTAAAATGTCGATTAATTAAAATTTTAGGCCTTCTATGAGCTTTTGACTTCGGTCAACCGAAAAATTTGTAATTTCCAAGGGCATATAAAGAACTTAAAGACCAAACATATTGTATTTTACCTCTTATATAATAAATTAAAGTATCTTACAGATAACTGCCACCTGCCGTTTGTTTTTTTATGAGAGAACATTGCAGATTAATTTTTCTGAACTTTACCATATTCGACCTTGTAGTTAATTAAGTAAGTCGGGACAAAATTTGCCAAACTATTCAAGAGAAGTCCTTCTATGTTTGTCTATGACAAACTAGCATAGTCAAAAATCCTTCCGGGTGCATCAACGTTTAATAGTTTTATAAAGCTGGTTGTTTCTAGGTCTTTATATATTTAATTACTACCGATTTGACTTTTTACGCTTATTGTTAGTCCTTTGAGAAATTAATTTTGACAAACAAATGTTGAACTTACCGCTGAAACGCGGTCTTTTATCCTCTAAAATGGATAAATCTACATTACCACTGTGTATTCAGAGAATTTTCTGAATTACTTTAAGCATGGCAGGGAGAAATTGGCTAGAAAAAAATATCCAAAAACAATTTTTCTTTATAAAACGACCCTCTACCTCCCATAAGCTGACTCAGGATCAGAAGTCAAGGGACCTTTAAATTGCCTCTAGTTGACAAACCTTCACGAACTTGCGCAGTAGAAGAAAAGGCAAAAGGTTCCTTCTTCCACTTTCCACTGGTTCCTCTGCTGCAATTCTCCTGACCTTCAAACTGACTCCCCTTCTGCCAAAGTATAAACTGTGAGCTGTTTTCGGCCTTTTTTATTATATTGTTGATTATTTGCCTCAGGTTATACATCCTCAGCCACAGCCATTGGCTTTACAGTAGATATGCTATCTCATGGGTCATTAGCCGAAATTCTAAAGTATGTCTCTGACCAGAAAAGATTACTTAGGTTGGATCGTAAGGCTGACTGTCGCGCAGCGTAATTACAGAATAGTTCGTTAAATCAGGAGACTGGCTTTTGGACGAGCTTCTTTCCGGTCACCTGCAAGAACCACTCTCTGTAAAAATGACCATTTAAGCAATATGATCTTTGCCGCTGATTTTTCATGCACTTATAAATTCAAATATGTTTTATAGAAAATGTAACATATTTTTTTCTTATACTCAGTTGGCAGCAAATTATGTCTTCTTCAAATTTTATACATGAGGGAAGATCGTATCCAGCTACCAGTTTTGTTAAGACTGTGAAACGTCTACCCATAAAGCATTGTATTTGTCCACTCAATAATACTACTTATAAGGTATACAACACAGTCCACTATCACTGCAAAAGTTTACAAACACAATAAGGCCTGCTAAAAGTATAAATGGATATTTTATTTTCTTAACAGAAAAGATATACAGCATTTAGTTTCCCTGGACACAAGTACAACAGCATTCCCGGTTCACAATCGATCGAAAATTAAGAAAGTTTTTTAAACGGAAATATACGCTTTCTTCGAATATAAAATTTGAAAAAAGACGTAGATTGTTACCTGCTGGACCCCAAAAATAGTTTATCCCATTTTTTCTATGACATATACTTGAATTTATGTGGGCATCAAAAATCATGGGAAGGAATGCATGCTACTTAAGTAGCTATTTTTACAGGGTGTAATTGTATAAGCGGTGGGGAGAGCGCCCTTTCAAAAATCGCTATTTTCGTCCGCACCGTCACGTTATATTCGTTAGTCGACTGAACAGGATTGGAGACCCACTCCAGCGATTAATTCCAGCTTTAAAGTTACACGTTAGGGGAACGAATAAAAATGGGCGTTTTTGCAGGTGCTTTGATGGCTTTAACTCCTACAAGTTATACTTTTGTGTGAGTAGCAGTTGTGGGACAAACAACGTGCTTCCAAAACACCCGTCGGCTTTACTATCTCAGCTTCAAGATGTGAGTTTTAGCATTTGCCGTTCTGTAAAAATGCTCATCAAATGTTTTACTCACATACACTGCATAGATTGCCGAGTTACTGCTTATTCACAGATAAGTTGTAAGCGGCCATTCTTAACTCTGACCTCTCTTATCTCCGCAAATTATGCGTGGATCTCCTATGAAACTTGGACCTAAGAAAAACATATGGCGTTATCGACTTTTCAACCTTAGGCAATAAACAGTTAGTGTAGTATGAACATCAATCATCTTCTGGTTTTTGAGTGACACTTGGCGCAGTGGACCGGGAAAAATTAATTATGCCCACAAGTTTACATGACCGCAAAACTCAGTTTGGACCAGATATCTATGAAGTACTGGGTCGGGTAGGTGCTCCTGCCTTTTGTTCACAGTTAAGTTACACACTGCCTTCTGCTTTTATAAGCTGTTTCCTTATAGAAGCCACCAATGAAATAAATATATCTTCACTTATTCATAATGTTGAACGTAAACGGACATGTTGCGGGTAAATCATAAGTAAAAGTGTCAGCTTGATTTTACGCCCAACTGACGATAATCTATAACAAACCTCTTTGCAAACATCCTAAAAATGTACTGGTCTTTAATCACGGTCGTATTTAATTCCACTAATCATTCGCAAAGTTGAATCGACCAAATACCTCCCAGAACAGTTGTGTTTAACTAACTTAGTCCATTTGTTTTCTCGGTTTCTTTTTTGGTTTCATTGATTTCTTTACTGACTGCCAATAGAGTGATCCCTTATTGGTCGCGGGGGCTGAGGTCAAGGACCCCCGCGCAAAGTGAAAATCCATGTATTTTATGATTGTGTTTACGTATTTCAAGTCCTTACACCCCCCCCCCACGTTCTGATAAATCTTTTTCACATAATTAAACAACATAAACTCTTTATAATCTATCAGATATTGGATAGGATTCCTTTAAATCCACTAGTTAAGCCAACTTAGATAACATGGGACAGAAATAAAAAGGCCCCTGTCAACGGAAATCCACGATATGTATCAGATATGCTTGCATCCGAAGTCCGCGATAGAGTTAGGTCGCAAGATCGAAAAGCGATACAGCGGAGGATTATTGTACTGACACTTGGCATGAACTTGGCAACATTCGAATGTACTAGTGTGGGATTTTCCACAATATTTCTGGCTCTGGCCCCAATTAGATAGACGCGTACCTTTTTATAGAGTTTCACGATGAATGACCGACTACATGGTCTTTTCATCGGCCAAACTTACGACAACTACGCAAATACTATCGGTACTTCACAATGGATTGACATGACAGCATAAAAAATTATTCTCATAAACTCTGTTTTATTTACCTTGAAGTGTGCCGCACACGTACGCAAGAAGGACTGTAAGCAGCAGCAGCTTGTTCATGACCGATGGATTGGAGGCTACCTGCTTTCAAACTCGAGTTCTTTTATAGGTAACTGAAACACACCTTTTGCGCCTCGCAGCCCGTGGAACGACCCCATTCGCTGCCTTGTTATTTCCTAAACAACACGTAACCTAACGCCATGAAGGAAGATTGTTTTTCACCATAATTTCTGACAAAAAAGATGACATGGCAGATAGGACTGCATTTGGAAGACTGGCGATGGAAACGCAGGTGTCAGAAATATCCACCACGAAGCGTACAAGGTTCAAAAAAGACTACCTTAGTTGTGTGTCTGAATACGAGAGAATCAACTGTGATACAAAGAGTCCAGTGTAATCATAAAAAAGGAGCTAGGTACGGTGTTCATGTAACGGATCGCTAGTCTGCTATACCGTAAACGTAGTCATGTATGCGTAAGTGGGAAGAAGTAGACACAATCAATGGAACAAGGATTATATTCGCCTGGTGTTCCGGATTCACGCCCGAACCCATCGTCAGAGACAGCAACAGATACGAATAATTCGTACACAAGTGTTTGCAGTTGTTAGGCTGCCGCATACCTGTAAGAATTAACGATTCTTCTTTCCATCGAGGGTGATTGTCGTTGATATGATAATGGCTTCATAGTCGGCATTCGGTTCGTTAATTGTCGCAATTTCACCACCCTTGTTGAGTGCTACCATGATGTGATTACTCGAAAACTTGGATCACAAACCCTAGCGTTTTAAACCATGTTCGTCCGTCCGCTATCCACGCAGCTAATTACTCTACCCAGGCTAAGGTTCAGCATCGAACATGGAAGGGGAGGTCATTGCACTTATTAATAAACTGGGCATCAGTGGACCTTGACGCAAGCAAGCCATGGCTCACGCGACCATCAGCTCTCGCGAAAACTTCGACCCCATCCAACTCAAATGCGCGTCCGGATTCCGTCGAAAGAACAACAAGTCGGGTTGAAGAAATCATCTCTGGCAATAAAACTCACCAAAATCGAGGATCAATAGAGCAACAGTGCGAAGAGAGAAATTTTTGAGGTTCGTCACCCACATTCCAAACGAGTCAACTGCCGCATGGTCCGATCGACGGCTTGCGAAGTCCTAAAGTCGTATCGCTCTACCATAGGAAGTACAGTACGGATGGAGTGCAAACTTAAATTCCAGAAACAACACTGGTATAAAAGAAAGGATGAATAAGCAAATTAAGATGGACCCGTGGTGTTTACATTTGTCACTACTGTGATGAAGACTGTTTATCGGGAAGCGTCCACTGGGAGTCCAGACAGGAAACGACATCCGTTTTTGAGTCTAGTCGGTCATAGCGCGGTTTTTAGGCCATGATTTGTCACCAAAATATTTTGAATACCAGCGAGTTGGCACCACAAAGGACAACGTGGGTTGCAATGGACATTTCTGGTCTCTCTGTCGTTGTCGCTCAGCCATGCCCTAAATACAGGCCGGACCAACCTAGAACTTGATCCCGAGTTACTTGGGCAATGAGCAGTTAAACCAAAGCCCCATGTCTCAGGGTTAGTATGAGGAATATTCAAAGTCACATGGACCTGACGCCCATCGACTTATCTTTACCGAAAAACTGTATTTTAGCAATTGCGTTTCGCCTTGGAGCTCGCGTCTATAGCCCTATCAAGAGTACAGTGAGTGACTGATCTCAGGAAATGTTGGCTGAAATTCTGGAATGCGTTTTCGATAAGGAAGGATTACTAAGTCGCGGTTAAAATACTAACGATCTTGCGACATAATTCTGTGATATTTCGGACTCGGTAGGATGTCAGCTTTTGAATACCCTGCTTGTCAATCTCCTGTGGAAACCGTGCTTGGCAAAAAGACTACATAAGTAGCATGCATTTTCCCCATTGCTTTTCGATGGCTTTGCAAATTTAAATATATCTTAAAGAAACCACTAAGACAAATATGTTTTCTTGCAGTCGTTGATGGAGAATTATGTCTTCTTATATTTTATATTCAAAAAGGAGTAGAGTTGGGTTTTAACAAAATTTTCAATCATGAGATCTTTTAAGACTTGCCTTGCTTAATTTCCGAGGAAATTAATGCGCGAACTTGAAGTAACTCTTTCGAGACAGGCCTTTTCAGGCACGGTCCGAAATTTGATATGAATATTTGAGCTGAAATCCATCAGCTACTGCGGAATAACCGCTTAATATTCACAAACCGCCAACAGGCAGCCAGTAGTATAGCATTGTGCAATAATTTACCGTACTAACAACACAGGTATTAGCTAAAAGCCCAGACACGCGTGTTTCGCCGATCTTGTGCCGCTGCCTGACGCAGCTGCGAGGGGTTCGGCTCGTCAGTGGGTCCCCCAGCTTTCCCCGTGTGTTTTCTGGTATATGAACTCCAGTTTTAACTTGCATTGCTTAATTTCCGAGGAAATTAATGCGCGAACTTGAAGTAACTCTTTCGAGACAGGCCTTTTCAGGCACGGTCCGAAATTTGATATGAATATTTGAGCTGAAATCCATCAGCTACTGCGGAATAACCGCTTAATATTCACAAACCGCCAACAGGCAGCCAGTAGTATAGCATTGAGCAATAATTTACCGTACTAACAACACAGGTATTAGCTAAAAGCCCAGACACGCGTGTTTCGCCGATCTTGTGCCGCTGCCTGACGCAGTAGTATAGCATTGTGCAATAATTTACCGTACTGACGACCCACTGACGAGCCGAACCCCTCGCAGCTGCGTCAGGCAGCGGCACAAGATCGGCGAAACACGCGTGTCTGGGCTTTTAGCTAATACCTGTGTTGTTAGTACGGTAAATTATTGCACAATGCTATACTACTGGCTGCCTGTTGGCGGTTTGTGAATATTAAGCGGTTATTCCGCAGTAGCTGATGGATTTCAGCTCAAATATTCATATCAAATTTCGGACCGTGCCTGAAAAGGCCTGTCTCGAAAGAGTTACTTCAAGTTCGCGCATTAATTTCCTCGGAAATTAAGCAATGCAAGTTAAAACTGGAGTTCATATACCAGAAAACACACGGGGAAAGCTGGGGGACCCACTGACGAGCCGAACCCCTCGCAGCTGCGTCAGGCAGCGGCACAAGATCGGCGAAACACGCGTGTCTGGGCTTTTAGCTAATACCTGTGTTGTTAGTACGGTAAATTATTGCACAATCTTTTAAGACTGCCCAATGTCCATTCATATTGTATCGCACCTGTCCATTTACCACTGCTCCTCATGAAATGTACAACATAGTCCGCATCCGTTACAAAATTGTATGGAATCTATATGGTATCCTTTAAAAGGCATAGAAAAATATGTGGGGTTCCTTACGCGGAACGCATGCATCTCGTAGACTGAAATCACTAAGCGCTAATGCAACGACCGATCAGGCTCTAAGTTATTCGGATTTTACAAAACTATTTTAAAACCCAACTCTACTCCCTTTTGAATATAAAATATAAGAAGACATAATTCTCCATCAACGACTGAAAGAAAGCATATTTGTCTTCGTGGCTTCTATAAGATATATTTTAATTTGCAAAGCCATCGAAAATCAATGGGGAAATGCATGCTACTTAAGTAGTCTTTTTTGCCAAGTACGGTTTCTACAGGAGATTGACAAGCAGTGTATTCAAAAGCTGACATCCTACCGAGTCCGAAATATCACAGCATTATGTCGCAAGATAATCAGTATTACAACCGCGACTTAGTAAACCTTCCTAATCGAAAACGCATTCCAGAATTTCAGCCAACATTTCATGAGATCGGTCACTCATTGTAAGTGATCAATAAGTGCTTCCTTGTCTCAGTCAACAGAACGTCGATCACTGGCTCGAAAAGACCCTTTATCCACTTACCCGTTTTCAACTCTGAGACTTGACGGACCTAGGATCTGGTTATGGCCGACTAAGAACTGTTAAAAGGCCCGACATGGTCATTCTACTCGCCCTTGTCCCTGTCGATAGCACGCATCAATCAATGATTGCCTGTCGTTATGCGGTTGCCCGTGACTCGTCTGGGGTGTGTCTAGGACAGCCAATCTCCCATGACCTTGAGCGTTTGCCTGATTTTCGCGTCCCTAAGTCGGGCCACGCGGCAGGTGAGCTGGACCAACACAGAGGCCATATCGGAGTCCGACATGCGTTATTGGGAATGCGCAGCCATAATAAGTGCCAACAATGGGGGTGTGGCGGCAGGCCTTGCTGCACGCCCATGCCGCGCCATTTGGGATCTGAGCTGCCTCCCCCCTTTTCACTATTGTATAAAAGCCAGGTCAGTGTTCGCTGTGCAGAGTTAAGGTTTAGGCTAGAGTAAGGATTAAGATTAGAGTCATTGTGGGGTTTAGGACAAGGGGCTATTTTGTCCCCTCCAAAATTATGCACAGGTCCACCTGTATCACTTGGGCGTGGCGTACCTATGCCCGTATTTTGTTTAAGGGACCATATAAGTCAGTCCTATCGACCTCTGCCCCACAAAGCAACCGGCGACATACAACTGGGAGGGGACGTGTGCTACCAATCGCCGGACAGGCTATGCCCGAACGCATATCGTTCATAAAGGAGGACTCCGTAGGTGACATATCTCATGAAGCATTAACTTATATTCTAAAGTATCATTTCAGTCAGAAAATACAGTTGGATGTTATTTCGTAGCCGTACCTACAGTTCACAAGTCCCAGTGTAGTCCTTAACCCCAGCCCCCAACCTTAACCCATTACCATAACCCTTAGCCCCAACCCCTGACCCTAACCTCAAACCCTAGCCCCAACCTCTAACCCCCAACCCCTTACAGGTACGGCCACGAAATAAGATCTTTCCAAAAATACTTCGTTGGGAGGAACTTATGACGAACAGTACCAACTGCAAAGGTTTCCTATATGTATGATGAAGTTCGAAGACTTGAGAGGAAACTGAAAGAGTTTTCGGTAGAGCGGACCTAAAAATTTTACTTCGGATCTCCTAAGGGGCAGGAGAGGGGATACTAGGTTACGTATTTCCGGTCAGTAACAATTCGTCAATGGTCATTAATGATTACTCGATCGTTTTAAAAACGAGGAATAAATTTTGTCAGGTCAAAAACTCAGCGTTTTTGAGAAGAAAACAACGGATGACAGTCTGAAAGGTACTGGCAAAAATCTAAAGCAGATCTAGAGAACATAATTTTAGAAAGTTCAAGGGTCGAGTTGTGTAGGAATCTACCGGAGGAACATGCGTAACAGATAAGAATAAACTCTTATCCCACAGTTTTGTAAAGTTGCGAAAATCAACATTCAACTTATGCTATTAAAGTGTAGAATCCCATTTGATGATAACATGCGACCCACTTGGGTCCATTTCTTATTAAATCTAACTTGGCTTTTACGAACTCCGTGGAAAGTAGGTGCTTTTTAAGAATTTGTTTTGGAAAAATAAAGAACATTTGCAGTCTGTATTTGAGAAGACTTGGCTAGGTTAAAGAATGGAAACAGTTCAGACTGTTCCACTACTTCCCCAAACACATGAGGAATAGTGAGCAACAAGTGTTTCACAAAGTAGAATTGTAAATTTAACAAAATATTTAATTCAAGAGGTTTTTGACGAGTTTTGGTTTTTCGGCCCCACTTGATCGCCACGATATGCACAGCTTTCTAAAAAAACTTAATATATGCGAATAAGCTGGCTTTTCAAACATCACGTGTTTGCACCTTTCGTACCATTTTAATCCAACGAGTGACTGTGCCACGGGGGAGGAGTGCTTATACGCCAGCCTCGGTTACTTCAGGTATCAGTTCACACTGCGCGTACCTCGAGCCGAGCGTGCGCCCTCTTTATTATCTTAATCCAGCGAATGGTCAAGTGGACTTGCTAACAGAATCGTTCAGGCGGTGTGGAACTCCGTCAGTTCCACTACAATGGCCATGCACCGCAAATTACCACGTGATTCCCCTCGTGGCCATCCAGTTGTGATTGCGCACCCCCGTATCCTCTTAATCCAGCGAGCGGCTGTGTTTGGGGTGTGTCTACACAATGCCTTAACTCGCTCCCCAGCATGTGCGCGGAGCTCTGCTTGCACTCTCCTTCTCTTCCCAATCCAGCGAGTGGCCAAGTTAGGTATGCTAACTATTAATGTTTTGGTAAGCTAACCATACGGTATCAATTAAGTGGGGCCGCAGAACCGAACGTCGTCGAAGTTTTTTAAAGAAGAATTAGCGCACGATTTAAGCTGCCTGTTGAAACTGGTTTGCAAATCATCTACCTTCAGAGGAAAATTAGAAAATGCAGACACATGTCAAGTAAGCGTTTGACCCTCATTATTGTTGTTATGATCTCACTCGATCTCATTCTGTCCGCCCGACAACGAACGTTGTTTCATAGGACACATACCACATAAGCAGCTCACTCCGAGTGCAACAGGTCAGACGCCGCCTTCTGCCGCAGCGGCTGCGGCCGATGCAGGACGTTTGAGTGGTTCGTAAGGCCGAGGAGATCCAAGGGTACGCGGATCGCAACGAATGGAAGAACATCTTCAAGGCTGTTTGCGGCCCCACAACCAAAGGAGCTAGTCCTCTTGTCAGCGCCGATAGGGCTACCCTAATCACCGAGAAGACACAAATTCTACAACGACGGGCCGAGCACTTCAGAGGCGTCCTCAACCATCCCCCCACCATCTCCGACGTCGTCATCGTCCCTCTGCATCAAGTGGAGACCAACGCCGACCTCGACCTCGCGTCCTCTCTCTACGAAACCATCAAGGCCGCGCAACAGCTCTCCAGCGGGAAAGCGCCTGGATTGGATGCGACTCCCGCTGAGATCTACAAGCACGGTGGCCCCCAACTCATGGATCATCTGACGGCGCTCTTCCAGGAGATGTGGTGTCAAGGCGAAGTCCCTCAGAATTTCAAGTAGGCCACAATCGTCCATCTCTATAAGCGGAAAGGCGATCGCCAGCTCTGCGTCAACCATTGGGGCATCTCCTCGCTGAACACTACCGGGAAGATCTTTGCTCGCACTCTCCCCAACCGTCTCAACAACCAAGGTCTCCTACCGGAACGCCAGTGCGGCTTCCGCCGTCACTGGGAAACCACCGACATGATATTCGCCGCCCGCCACTGCAGGAGAAGTTTCAGGAGATACGGGTCCACTTCTACTCTGTCTCTGCGGATCTGACGAAGGCCTTCGACACGATAAACCGCGAAGGACTGCGAAAACGCATGCAGAAATTTGGCTGTCTCGGGCGATTCACTCAGATGGTGCGTCAGCTCCAAGATGACATGACGGCACTCGTCGCGGACAATGGAGTCGTCTCAGAGGCATTTGCAGTGACCAGCGGAGCGAAAGAGGGCTGCGTCCTATCGCCTACCCTCTACACTCTCATGTTCTCTGCCTTGCTAATGGACACCTAGCATGACGAACTCCCCGGGATCCGCGTCGCCTACAGAACGGATGGCCAACTCTTCAACTAGCGACGGATGCAGTTCCGGTCGCGTGTACCCACAACTACTGCCCGTGGACTTCATTTCGCAGACGACTGAGCTCTGAGCGCTACCTCCGATGGGGACATGCAAAGGAACATGGATCTCTTCGATGCCGCCTGCAATAATTTCGGTCTGGTCATCAGTAGAGAGAAGGCGGTGGTTATGCATCAACCGCCACCTGGTGCTGCCTGCGTCGAACAGCGTCCAACTGCAAAATATGAACAACTTCACCTGTCTGGGCAGCATCGTCTCTCGGAGCACCAAAATCGACGATAAAGTGTCTCGTTGGATTTCCAAAGCCAGCCAAGCCTTCGGCCGTCCGCAAAACACAGTCTGGAATCGACGCGGTCTTCACATCGGCACCAAAATGAAGATGTACAAAGCGGTCAGCCTGTCGACGTTGCTGTATCGAGCAGAGACTTGAACGGTGTACAAGGAGCAGGCTCGCAGACACAACCATTCCCTCCATAGCTGTCTCTGACAGATGTTGAAGCAGAGATGGCACGACCGGATCCCCTACAAAAGCGGACGGGAATCCTCAGCATCTACGCCTTGCTGAGACAGCTGCAATTGCATTGGAGCGGCCGTCTGGTTCGCGCGGACGAGCAATTACCTAAACAACTCTTCTATGGAGATGTCGCCACGGAATCCCGCCAACCAGGTCAAGTCCGGCGCTAAAAGGAAACCCTGAAGACCTCCCTCAAGCGCCTATAAATTGGCCCGGCTAACTGAGAAGACCTCGCCCGGGAACGACATACTTGCTGGAGAGCAGTGAACACAGGTGCAGCAATCTGACAGTTCGACCGTCGTTTTCGACGATGTCCACCGTGTGCCCCACAGAAGGTGGGAGCAGGGACGGTGACTTGCGCAGGGGTTTATAGTGCTGGTAGACTTGCGCTGCATCTACCTACAGTCTCTCCTCCTCCCCCGCCTGGGCCCGGTGTCAAGACAGAGTCAAGAAGACCGGGGACGAGGGAGGCCGCAGGTGGATGGCTCGGACGGATCCTCACCTTAGCGTTCCACCACCCCCCTGGTCCACACAACAATAACCAGGATTTCAACCAACACAGCAGAGATTTGGAGGCTGGCACGGCCGAAGCCGCACCTGGGCGTGCCGCCAACGCCTGGCTCGGATCCCACACTGTGGTAGGAGGGCCATAGAGGCCACATTAAAAAGGAGCCATTGCAGCCTGACTCTCAGACCTCCTCCCGTTAAGGAGGAGGTCCAAGGTATCCCGTCAGTTGGCAACCTTCCAAGCCACGGCTTTTAGCGCACCGTGATAGCTTCAAGCGCGTCAGATTGTTTATAGTGAGGAGAAAGTGCGCTGAGTCGTCGACCTCACTCTCCCTTCCCACTCCCACACCCCAGCCGCTGTCCGAGCCGGTCAACAGACTGGAGTGGGGAATGGGCGCGGTGGCTGACATGGTCGACTGACCATGCCTGCGCGCGCCACAGCACGACCTGGCCCCCCATACACACAAACACCAGGATTTCACACAACGGGGGTAGAACGGCGTGTCTCCCACTGGCGTGAGAGGGCCGTGGAAGGTGCTGCTTCAGCCCGTCCCCAGCCCACCAGTCCGCCACTACACACAACACCCACACACAACGTGACGAACTGCGTGAACCGAGAGCGGACCTCAATCAGCAACCTTCCTATCCACGACGCTTGACGTGCCGGGATAGTCTCGGACACAAGTCACCCGTGCAGCCGAAGCCGCATGCGGACCGAGTCGAGATGCACACTTCCCACTTGCGTGGGAGGCGGCAGTTGAGTGCATGAGGTGTGTGGGGGTTGATGTCTGGTGGGATGATGGTGTTAGGAGGTAGGGAGTGAGGTAACGTGTGGTGTGACCGGCGGTTGTCTACCGCAGGTCGTCGTGGATGCGCATGTGGCCGAATAGACCCATGCGATGCGTGAAGGTGCGAGGGCAGTGTGGGCAGTGGAGGCGAGTGCGGTGGGTGTAGGTTGGTGCTCCAAGCACTGGTTCGCCAGTCTCTGTGCGATGGATTCGCAAGTGACCGACCAGGCCGATGTGTGAGGTGAAGGTGCGTGGACAGTGTGGGCATGAGTGGTTGGCGGTGTCGGTGTCAGCTGTAGAGGAAGCAGTTGTGTTAGTGGTGGTGGCGGTGGTGGTGGTCGACGCGTGTGACGGTGGAGCGAGGATTGGTCTGGGCGTGGTGGATGTGTTGGATGTCGTGACTGTATCAGAATTGTGGTCAATTCCGCTCTCGTGGATGCGCATGTGGCCGAATAGACCCATGCGATGCCTGTAGGTGCGAGGGCAGTGTGGGCAGTGGAGGCGAGTGCGGTGAGTGTAGGTTGGTGCTCCAGGCACTGGTTCGCCAGTCTCTGTGCGATGGATTCGCAAGTGACCGACCAGGCCAATGCGTGAAGTGAAGGTGCGATCGCAGTGAGGGCAGATGTAGTCCTGGCCCTCACGTCTGATGATGGAGGTTGCAGGGGTTGTGCCGGTTGTTGTGTCAGGTTCGGCTGTGGTGAAGTCGTGGGCGACAGACGCCGAAGCGGCCGTCGTTGTGGCAGTGAAGGAGGAAGAGGAGGAGGAAGGGGAGGAGTGGAGGGTGGTAGGGTCGGTGGCGTCGATGTCGGCTGGGGAGTGGTTAGTGGGTGCACTAGGTGGTGGATTGGGAGTGGGGCTTGGCGGGGTGGGTGTGTCAAGGCTGCGGTCAATTCCGCTCTCGTGGATGCGCATGTGGCCAAATAGACCCATGCGATGAGTGAAGGTGCGAGGGCATTGTGGGCAGTGGAGGCGAGTGCGGTGGGTGTAGGTTGGTGCTCCAGGCACTGGTTCGCCAGTCTCTGTGCGATGGATTCGCAAGTGACCGAACAGGCCGATGTGTGAGGTGAATGTGCGGTCACAGTGAGGGCAGGTGTAATCCTGATCCTCATCACTGGAATCGGGAGAGGTGGGAGAGGTGATGTCGGATGTTGTGTTGGGGTTGGTGATGTGTGAGACGGCAGTCTGAACGGCTGCCGCTGGGGCAGTGGAGGAGAAGGAGGAGGATGGAAGTGGTGGTAAAGGAGGAGTGTCAGAGTTAGTTGGCGGCAGAGAGGACGAGGAAGAGGCGGGCGGGGGGACGATGGCTGGAGCAGTTCGAGAGGTGCAGTTGATCCGAAGATGTCCAACAAGTCCGATTCGTGCCCGGAATGTCCGGTGGCATCGAGGACACGTAGGGGGAGGTTGTGCGGCGGCGTTGCGGACTGGGCGAAGTTGTGATTTGCGGGCTTCGCGTTTCGCTTTGGCGGCAGCGATTCGGTTGGCTTCATAGATAGCAGCGCCTGTCTTCACTGTCCTCCACCAGGTCGGTCGATCGAGTGCGAGCTCCTCCCAGTTGGTCGGGTTGATTTGCAGGCATTTCAGGGAGGACTTCAGGGTATCCTTGTAACGGCGAATCTGGCCTCCTTGACGGCGAGAACCCGTCGCGACGTCTCCGTACAAGAGTCGTTTGGGTAGTCGCTCGTCATCCATGCGCACCAGGTGGCCGCTCCAGCGCAGCTGCATTTGTCTCAGTATGGCGTAGATGCTGAGGATTCCCGTTCGCTCCAGTACTTCCGTGTCAGGGATTCGATCCTGCCAGTTCAGCCTCAGGATGCGGCGGAGACAGCTGAGGTGGAAGTGGTTTAGTCGACGTGCCTGCCTCGTGTACACCGTCCAAGTCTCCGCTCTATACAGTAGCGTCGGCAGGATGACGGCTTTGTACATCTTCAGCTTTGTGCTCAGTTGGAGACCATGACGATTCCAGACTGTGCTTTGGAGGCGACCGAAGGCTTGACTGGCTTTCGAGATCCTGTTGGCGACTTCATCGTCGATCTTGGTGTTGCGGGAGAGCGTGTTGCCCAGGTACGGGAAGTTCTCTACCACTTGCAGTTGAGTACCATTCACGTTGATTTGCGGCGCGTTGGGGGCTGTGGCTGAGTTGGGAGGCGGCTGATGCATCACCACCGTCTTCTGCGTGTTGATAACCAGCCCAAAGTTCTCGCAGGCGGCGGAGAATAGGTCCATGCTCCGTTGCATCTCCTCTTCCGAGGTGGTGTTCAGGGCGCAGTCGTCGGCGAAGAGGAGTTTGTGCACGGTGGCTGTGGATACACGCGATTGGAAGTTCATGCGCCGTTGATTCAGGAGACGACCGTCCGTCCTGTAGGCGATGGGGATCCCGGGGCGTTCGTCGCGGTAGGCGTCCATCAGCATGGCAGAGAACATGAGACTGAAGAGGGTTGGTGCCAGCATGCATCCCTGCTTCACTCCGTTGGTCACTGCGAATGCCTCTGAGACAGCTCCGTTGTCCGTGACTCGCGCCATCATACCGTCGTGCAGCTGACGCACCATCTGAGTGAATCGCTCCGGACAGCCGAATTTTATCATGATCTTCCACAGTCCTTCACGATTCACCGTGTCGAAGGCTTTCGTCAGGTCCACGAAGGTAGAGTACAGGTGGGTCCGCATCTCCTGGCACTTCTCCTGAAGTTTGCGGGCGACGACGATCATATCCGTGGTTCCACGATGACGACGGAAGCCGCATTGGCTTTCCGGCAGAAGGCCCTGTTCCAGATGGTTGTTGAGGCGGTTGAGCAGGATGCGAGCGAAGATCTTCCCGGCGATGTTCAGTAGGGAGATGCCGCGGTGGTTGTGGCAGACTTGGCGATTCCCTTTGCGCTTGTATAGGTGCACGATAGTTGCGTCCTTGAAATCTTGCGGGACTTCACCTTGACGCCACATCTCCTGGAAGAGCGCAGTCAGGTGATCCATCAGTAGGGGACCTCCGTGCTTGTAGACCTCAGCAGGGATTGCGTCCGATCCGGGTGCTTTCCCGCTGGAGAGCTGCTGCACGGCCCTGATCGTTTCCTGGAGAGATGGCGGGAGGTCGAGGTCCACGTTGGTCGCCACTTGCGGCAGGCGGGCGATGG